TTAATTGTTCCCCAGCTGGCCCTGCTGCTAGCCCCCGATGCCAGCTCTGCCCAGTGGGTCTGGCAGGGCTCTCGGGAGCAGAGATGTGGGTTTGCTTGCCCTTGACGTGTTTGGAGCCGTGTGAGCGCCCCACGTGCGGTCCGGCTGAGGTTCTGGTACTGATACCCCCTTCAGACCCGGGGACCGGAGACCTCTACGAGATGGATGACTCTCAGCTGGTGAGCGACAAATCCCCCCTGGAGGAGCCCCCTGACATGTCCAGCCTGCACTGCTCTGCCAGCCCCTCCCTCAACAACTCCAGCTCCTTCAGCCTGCTGGCGGACGACAGCCAGCCTTCCCACTCGCTCTTCGCCAGCCCCAGCTCGCCGCCCGTCCTGGGGGAGGCTGTCTTGCAAGGTATGTGTCATGCCCAGGATGGAGCCGGTTGCGAGTGGCCTTGGAAGCTCTCCAGGGCGCTGTGCAAAGCAGTTCACGGCCAGCAGAGACGACAAGTCCCAGCAGGCCGGGCTGCGTTTCCAGCCAGCCGTTCAGGCCGTCTCCGCCAGCTGGCTCCCCGAGGGCTGGGGGGAGGGCTGCTGCCTGGAGTCTCCCTTGTTCTGCATTTTCTGCAGCAGCACCTTTGTGTCCGGGCTGCAGGCCCCGGGCCGGCGCTATGAAGTACGTGTGAGCAGAACTGGGACCCTGCATGTCCCACGGCCCTCGTGGTGGGAGCGTAAACCACGAGGGAACTCCAGTTTGGGGTGTGTGTGCTGGAAATGGCCGGTCCTGCCAGCACTTGCGTGGGGAGCTGGGGAGCCTGTTCAGGGAAGAAAACTGCCCAGTTACAAGCGACTGCCCTTAGCACACCCTTGCTGGGTGTGAGCCCTGGCTCAGGGGCGTCCTCCACTCCGGTGGGCAAGCAGCTGAGTGCTGCAGGGTCTGGCCGTAGCTGGATCGTTGTGTGGGCGGCATCCGGGAGGGGGACGCACAGCCACATTTTCCCCCATGGTTGGACCGGGGTGGGGGCCGTCTGGTTTCATGGGCGGAGCAGGAAGGGAGCAGAGCTCAGCGGTAACGTCCCCGACCTTGGCTTTGCAGACAGCAGCATAGACCTGAATAACAGCAGTCACACAGGGCCAGAGGACTCAGAGTCCCTGGAGCTTGACCCTCCGCTGGAGCCGGAGTCCCCAGCCCCTTCTCCAGAAGAGGAAGAGGAAGAAGGTGGTGACAGCTGTCCGGAGACTTCAGCTGCGCCTGAAGGAGAGAGCGAAGAGGCAGCCCCCCTCAGTGCGTCAGCAGGTGGTAAGGAAGGAGACTCCTCCCTTGGCTGTGCCAGCCCCGGGCGACAGGCCCTTCAGCCAGCGCTCGCTGAGCAAAGGGTCTCTGTCTCTGCTGTCTCAGCAGGTGATGTCCCACGGAGGCGCATTGCCACCCAAGAGGAGGTGCGCTTCCCCCTGCAGCACGGGTACGTGGTGCTGTCCCTGTCCCTCTGCCCTGTCACCAGCCCCACTGCAGGCCGCGATCCTTGCACAGCTGAGGCTGTGCAGGGCCCCGGCTGAGCTGATCTTTGTGCCCAGGTGGAGAAGAGAGGTGCGGATCAAGAAGGGCAACCACCGCTGGCAGGGGGAGACATGGTACTACGGGCCCTGTGGGAAGAGGATGAAGCAGTTTCCGGAGGTGATCAAGGTAAAAGTGCCGGGGTGAACTGGGCTAGAGCAAGCGCAGTGTCAGCGAGGCTGCCTCCCACCCAAAAGCAGCTGCTGTCCAGCTCAGGGTGCAGGTGTT